TTCATAATCATGCCAAAATCTCAAAGGACTCTTAGAAAAGGAGGGAAAGATAATGTTTATCAGGGCCTCTTGAACTAAAGCTAAACAGTAATTAAGTATTTATTCAAAACAAGCAGCATAAGATTTTATATGACACTTATCAAAAGTAATTGTTTTGGTCCTAGGACCAAAACTGTGTCTCCCTTACTCATTGCTTTATCTCCAGCATTTAGTAAAGGTTTGATAAATAACTAACTGCATGAATAAACGTTATTAAATTTCTCTATAGCGAGTATCTTCAACATATTTTATTTGGTCTTATATTGCACTGCCTAAGAGTAGTTTCCTCTGACTGGACTGTAAACTCCTTACGAACAGAGATTGTATCATATTTATCCTTGTTCTTCCGGTGCTCCCTCCCCGCCTAAAAATACCTTCGAAGGTAAGAGAATTCTAAAAATGTGGCAAATTGACATGATATGCCTCCTATTATGATGTCCTATGAAAAATATAATGTATTCCTATGAAGGACACCTATGTTTAAATTGTTTAAAATGAATTTATCATAAGTAAACAACTAGATAAATTTAGATTGAGGAACACTCTATAACAGGCCAAGACACTTCAAAAAGTTATTTCGTACAACAAAGATGGGATAAATGTTCTAAACCCACATTGTCCAATACAGTAGCCACATATTTAAATTAACTAAATAAAACAAAAATCCAATTTCTCAGTCCACTAGCAATATTTCAAGTACTCAATAACAACCTGTGGCCAGTGGATACTCTATTTGATACCATACATATAAAACAATTCCATCAATGCAATGTGTGATCTTTGACTAGATCCGAGATTTAAAATGTAAAAACCAAATCTATAAAGGGCATTATTAGTACACATGGGGAAATTTGAATATGAACTGCACATTATACAACACAGTGTAAGCATAAATTTTTTAGATGATATATGGTATTATGTAGGAGAATGCCTTATTCTTAGGAGGGAAAATACTCAAGTATTTCGTAGTAAAGTGCCACAATGTCTACAATTAATTTTCTAAGAATTGAGCAAAGTGGGAAAAATGTCACATGTGGAAATAAACCAAATGTGACAAGTCGATTTTAGATGAAAGGTATTTCAGTGTATTATTTCTGTAATATTTGAAAGATTTTTAAGTATAAAGTTATGGGGTAAAGAGAAAGTGGAATCATTTTTTCAAAATGCTCCAAGACATATCAACCAACTGCAATATGAATAGCATTTGAATTCTGATTTGAACTGCGAAAAAAAAAAATGTGACATAGGAAATTTTAAGTTTGTATAATAAATGATAATAAGAAATTACTGCCAATTATTAAGTGGTTTTGTTGTTATGGGTTTAAGTCTTAATCTTCTAGATATACATCATGAAGTGTTTACAGTGAAATGCTGTAATACCTGAGGTTTATTTCAAAATAATGGGGGAGGGAGTAAATGGAAGAAAGACAGGCCATGAACTGATGGATAGCTACATGGGAGTTCATGACACTATCCTACTTTTAGTATGTTGGAAACTTTCCATAACAAAAAGTTAGAGAAAAAGAAATGTACTAATTGAATTAATACATTTTCTCCAATTTAAAAACTAATTTCCCTAAAGCTGAACAAGCTGTACTAGTCCACTGACTACGTAAACTAACAAAAACAGTGATAGTGTACCTTTTCTTACACCATTTTTTGGAGAGGAAAGGGTGCTAAAATTTCTGTTTGAGAAGGCTGACAGTGGTTCAAAGCTGAAGAACTATCAAGAGGAAAAAAAAGATTACCATAAAGGTTATTAACTAGAATTTTAAAAAATGAACAAAAGATATGGAGTCTTAGATTATTTTTATTGAAAAGATATGAGACTGGATTGTGTCAAGGATAAAGAGAAAGACATTCAGTCATGCTAGTGGGTAAAGAATAAAAATAATCATTGACTTACTGTAAAACTACGCCATTCATTCTTATTCTTTGTTTTCTCTCTAATCCCAAACTGAATGGCTCTTCTTTTTCAAGTGCAAATGATTAAATGTGACCCTCTACAAATTCTAACTTCTCTACAAAAGTTGGTTTGAACATTAAGTTAGTAGAAGCAAAACAAAAAATATTTTTCAGGTTCTTACGTAAAAAGCAAATACTGAAAGAGAGGAAAAGGCAGATCTCAAAGAACAAAGAAAGTTAAATAATTAAATTTAGAGATCTCATTACAAAGCAAGAAATTTGAGCAGTGTTGTATAACTGCCTACAAGTAATTCATACTGTTTTGGAGAAATGGATTACTGCTACCTTGCTCCAGTCATGAAAAAGATGTCTGCTAATAAAAATGGTAACAAAGCAATAAATAAAAAAGGAAAGTGTTGGGCAGAAAATTAGAAGAAAATCTTTCTTTCAGGTAGAATGGGCACTAAGAGGTTATACAACTAACTTACTTAATGTCTCCTGTGGCTAGATGTGTCACTTAAAAAAAACTTTGATAAGAAAATAGGAAGCAGATACCTTTCTAGCTGATATTTGACTGAGGTTATTTAAGTTGGGGAAAGGAAACATGACTAGCAACTTGCTAAACCAGATGCAAATATTTTCCTCTCTCAGGGGCATGTTCTCCTTGAAAACCAAATAGGTATGATATACCAATTCCTGTGCAATCCCTTTTCAAAATGTCCAAAGAACAGGTAAGGTTAAAAAGAAAAGGAATTCTGCTTTATCATTATTGTATCAGAATCTCTTATAGATCTAAATATAAAGTAAAACATTAACATAAGCCAGCTATAAATATAACCAGTAAAGTTAAGTAAAAAAGACATAGGCCTAATTCTTCTCTAATGGAAGTATGGGTCAAGTTACAAAGTAAATTCGAAGTAAGTTAAATGCAACCATTCCAAATTGGGGAACAAAAAGAGCTAAAATTCTTCAGTGCCTCCAAAAATTGTGAAAATAGCAGAGGCCTGAGTTATTCCACTATAGCCTAGGTCTGAATATTTTAGGACTTATTCATTGCTCACCATGTAAGTTTCTCAAAGGTCAAAAAATGCACCAATTTTATATACTGACGAGTATTTAAAAATGCAAAGCTATGATACCTTGCTTCTACAACATATCATGAGAGAATTTTACTTTTTGTATTTTCATTTAAATTTTTAAGAATATATTTTCCCCTAGCAGATTCTGTAACACATTAGAACCAAGAATGCCTTTTCTTTACTGAATTTCACTAGGGTACTTATATCTTTCCACAGCCAGGATTGCAGTATTTATATTAGAAAGTACATCCAAGCATTACTTTGTGCTTATGACCATGAATTATGAAATACATGGATTGCAGTATCAGAAGTGAATAAATATTTTTCAAAGTATTTTTCCCACTATTAACGATATGAATTAGGATGATTAAATAAAAGCTGTAACTAATTTTGTACTCTAAACCAGGGGTCCCCAACCCGGTACCAGTCCATGGTCTGTTAGGAGGTAAGTAGCAGGCGAACAAGCGAAGCTTCATCTATATTTGCAGCCGATCTCCAGCACTAGCATCACCACCTCAGCTCCACCTCAAATCATCAAGCATTAGATTCTCATACGAGCACTGGTCCCTGGTGTCAAAAAGATTGGAGACTACTGCTCTAAACAGCTCTTGCGATAGCAGCTCTCAAATGATAGTCATTCTCGGATAATGTGATACATAGTTTGGTTTCCTGATTCATTTGTTTAAATTACCTTTCTAAAACTTCCAATTCCCATTGGTATAATCTGAAAACATAAGTCTTACCTGTCAGAATTGTCTGAAAAGCAGCTTCTACATTTGTAGAATCTAGAGCAGATGTCTCAATGAATGACAAACCATTCTTTTCTGTGAGGAGACATAAAAACTTCGGTTTTGTCAAATTTTAATACAAGGAATATGATATACTCAAGCCTTTAAAAAGAAAGCATTTTTCTAAAACCTAAAGCCTCCCCAGCTTCTTGAGCAATAAGGGTACCTACCATTCTACCTACACTTCAGATTAAAAATAACTGGGAAATTTATATTGGCTACTTTATTAAAATAAATATTTATTACATCCAAATACTACCACTAGAATGAATGGCACTACTCAAAATGTAGTACACTTATCAACTACCCAGTTACTTCCACCCCTTACTGTCCTTCCTCCCATCAGTCACATAGCTATGGTATGAACATGGATGGGTATAAGTAATTCACTTAGTATTCTATAACTATGTTATTTGAAATATAGCTTCTTGCCTGAAAAATTAAAAAACTGTTATAGAAAACGGCACAATCACTAGTGGAGAGTCACAACTTTCACTAGCCAAGAATGCACAATACTGCCTTCTGGGAGGCTGCCCATACCTATAGAAGAGGGGCAAGAGATAGGCTACATGCCTATTGGTCCTTGACACTCCCTGGGCTACTACTTTTCAGATGTACATAAGATCAGCCTTGGTCAAAAACAGAGACATAATGGAAAAAGAGACAGGAAGCACAGAATAAAAAGATTTCATCTACCCTTTCCAGGGAAAGAAAAAATGGTCTTTATATTTAATTTCTGGCAGCAAAAACTCAAAATAGTACAGTGTTTTAATGACTCAAAGTTAAGTGAAAGAGCCACAGACTTTCGAAACACACTTTCAAAACAATCCTTGCTGAACATTCATTCATGTTTACCTTTCTAAAACTGCTGTAATCAATTACCCTCACTAGGCTATCAAAACTGTAAGATAGAACAATAAGAAACAGAGATTCACTATAATATCATGGAATTCACATCACTAACCTGCAAAAGCTCTTGCTTCATCTGTAGGAACTGCCCTGAGATGACGTAAATCACTCTTATTGCCCACAAGCATGATAACAATGTTACTATCAGCATGATCTCTCAGTTCTTTCAGCCATCGCTCTACATTTTCATATGTGAGATGTTTAGCAATGTCATAAACCAATAAGGCACCTACAGCTCCACGATAGTACCTGAAAACAGAAACATGTATTAAACTATCAGAAAACAACCACAAAATAGAAGAGAACACCAGGAAGAACTAAATATACGGATTATATATATTTTTAAAGCACATACATTTCACAATCCTAATACTGAAATTCTTAAAAGAAAAAAACAAAACAAAACAGTACCTTTTCCATTACCAAACTTCAGCTAATTCATTTGATGGCAGCCTATTTCACAGAGCTTAAAAACTACGCAACTTACGCTGATGTTATAGCTCGGTATCGCTCTTGCCCTGCTGTGTCCCATATCTGTGCCTTTATTGTTTTCCCATCAACCTGGATGCTTCTTGTTGCAAACTCTACTCCAATGGTGCTCTTGCTTTCAAGATTAAACTCATTTCGAGTAAATCGAGACAGGAGATTACTCTTTCCAACACCAGAATCTCCAATAAGGACAACTGAAAAGACAAAGAACTTTATGTCAGATGAATGAGCCAAACACATTCAGAATATCAGCATGCTTTCTAGCAAAAACAATAGGGCACCTGATTTTTAAAAAGGAATGGGGTAGAACAGTTCTCGACCTATTACCTATTGATAAAACCCATTTATTCTTTTTAACCTTTTCCTACCAGCATAATGACTTCTACACATCATCGGCTTAGCACATAGTGTCCTGTTTTACACATGCAATTTTAATTATAGGTCTACTAGGCACTGATGACAGGCCAATGCATTAATTAACCATCAATGCTATACCAACCTTACTACCTTGGAAGGTAATAACTTGAAAGATAAATCTTAAACCAAACGAACAATTTATGATATTAAAATGTATCAGACATGAAAGCAACAAAGGATGTTAGTGGGTAGTGGAAAGGGAAAGAATACGATGTTCTACTGAGTTTTATCAAAGACTCGGTGTGACCTCAGGATTCACATCTAGGCAAAATGAAATACATTTAACATACAAGGAATCAGGTTTATAAACTTTGCCACCCAGAACACAGAAACTACAATGACCCTTTAATAGGCAAGAAACAAGAGACCTCTTGAAAAACAAACACCCCACTAAGTTTAACAGGGGCCCTAAGGAGCTGTTGAGTAGATCTGACTTACTCTGAGTCAAGGCCAAAGCAAGGCAGGCATACACTTTCACTTATGATTTCATAAATTTTTTTTTAAAAACAGGTTCTGATTAGATGAATTTATTTGTTAAGATTACTGTTAGGAGACAGTTTATTTACTAACTAAATACACAGAAATACTTTTTCACTGAAGGCAGTTCTATACTTTAGAATTTCATAAACAATGAGGAAATAGGCAGTTATATTAAAGCATTTCTACCTAAATTTAAAGAACAAAATGAATTCACAGATTTATGGAATCTTAGCTTGATAACATTTTTTCCTTTGTTATTTTATAACATTTCAGAAAATATTATAGTTATCCCTACTATTGACTACTAATGCTTCCTCTTACTTTTTACTAATTGATTTAGACACCAGTACTAGAAAATCAAACATGCAAGAATAACACCAATGAATGAGACCATATCTTACTAAAGAGATTGGAATTTGGTGGTGGAGGTGAAGAGGGGGATAAAAACTGAAAGCTCACTGCATTCTGGTCAGGGGGCAAAGAGACTCTATTATGCATTCCTCCTTGCCACAAGAGTGATATAAGCTGGCCTCTGGACAGTCTTGTAGGGAGTATATTATCTTTCTGGCTTCTTCTATCAGCTGATTCAGCAAGATATCCAGGCAGCAGTGATTCCATGCAGTGCAAGTAGTAGTTATTTGTAGCTATATAGTCAATTAGTGGTGTCAACAGTATTGTGGCAAACACAGATATTATAATAAATACTTTAATTTGGATACCAGGGAAGATGTTAAGGTTATGAAAGTTAACATACAAAAACAATGCGCTTCTAACTTTATAGGAAGGTTGGCTGATATGTTAGTTTCCAAGGTCCACCACTCTGGACGTGAGGTCAAATCGCAGTTTCAGTAATAGAGTCTACTCTATTAAGAGGATATACTCACTATTGTCTTCTTAGTAAAAAAGGCTGGATGTTCTGCTAAGGAAACTTCTGAATCATTTCTGGTCCCACACTAGCAATGAGGTATAAAAGTCTCACTTGAATTAGGAATAGGAAAGAAAGGAAAAACCAAAAATTTGAAAGTTTCTTCTTTATAGGCACTCAGGTATCAATCAGTAATTCAGGAACCAGTCACTTAGTTTAAAGACAGAAAGCAAGACGTCTAGAATGACAATGTCTTTGGTAAATAAAATAAATAAAAAACTCAGAGAACATCTCTCTCCCATAAAAACTCCAGCACTTTCAAGTTTTTGGTTTCTTCCCTTTTAACTTCCTCTTTAAATGATTATATTCATCTTCTCCCCATCCTCAAATCTTTATGTCATCATAAAGTAAGTTAGCAAGGGCATTTTCTCCCCCTAAATGTAACCATTTTAACATTATAAAAAATAGCACCTTTATGTGAAAATAATTCAAGACTCATAAATGCTTTACACAGTATAAATTATTTCAACTAGACAGGAACAAGATTGCCAAATTAACTAGCAACCTGTTAAAGGATTATATCTTAAATGACAACAGAAGATAGCGACCGATTCTTTAAGAATAATGCTGCCAAGATGACACAATAAGGAAAGCTGCTTCTATTCAGTTACCAAATGAGAAGCCAAACCAAGAGGTAAACATTTAAGCTCACTAAAAAAATAATCAAAGATAGATTAAATTACCTAAGCAACAGAAGAGAATTTACTGGCTAAAATTTAAAAAACAAACCAAAAAAACAAAAGTTCATGGACTCAAACTTAATTTCTAATAAAAGTTTCTCATTAAGATGGCAATATTTAATTTTTTTTAATGTGACAAAACTATATGATCACATAGTTCAAGACAGGAATTTGCAGTGATGTTCCTGTTTTCCATAATTAGTCAGCTTAGGTTAAAAGTACTTTAAATATTTTATAATTACAGCCATCTATATAATATGTGTATATATATTACATACACATAAATAATAGCATCTATACATGAACTAGTTATAGCATTTCTAAAATAACCTGATATTTATTGTCACTTGGTTTAACCTCATTTGCTTAATTTTAAGTGTCATCTCAATACCTAATACAAAATTTAGTTCAATACATATAAAATATTAGGCTACTAAATGCTATTAAAATTAAAATATAGATACTAATTATCCATTATTTAAAACTTCCCCCTCTTCAACCCCATGTAGTTTTATACACTCTCTAGCAAACTAATATACCAGACTGAAATCTAATTCAACAAATCAATCATAGCACATCAAACCTGTAAGTTATTACCTAAAGGAATAACTGATAGTTTTTTTTAAATAAAGTTGGAGATATTTCTACTCTTTCAACTATGTTCATAGTCCAACCTCACCAAAAGTCTTTAAAATAAAATATTCCATAAGGCTGAAGTCGACATGTTTTTCCAGCCTCAGCAGAATCTGAGTTGCTCAACCAAAAGTTGTGAAAGAAAAACTACTAAGATGCAAGACAGCAAAGTTCCTATGCTCATGTCCATTTGACAATCAACTGATGGCTAATTACTACTGACCTGTTCAGTGAGGTTAAAAAGAAAATGGTGCAGACGATGTATCCAGATATTTTCAGAAAATATGATTTTGACTGGATTGATATCTACCACAATATTTGTAAATAGGAACTATGATTGATGCTTATTTCACTTATGTGCCCTATGGGGCCTTAACCACTTTGTAGAATTAGTGTTTAAAATAAAAAGTCGTTTTTAAAAATAAAATTAATCCTTTCCCTCAAAGTCTCAATGTTCAGCTTAACCAAAGGTTAAATGCTCAAGAACAAATACATAATTTAGAATAACTGTCCTGCCATCTTCACATTACATTGCCATTTGGACCACTCCATCCTCTATCAATCAAAATGTCCCTTCACTTTCAAATGGTTAGAGTTACAAACTAACTTCCAATTCCCTCAACTGTTATGTTTTCTAGGTAAGCCTTCTTTCAGGTAGAGAGCTGCAGCTCATCTTGGTGAATAAATCTCTGTACAATAAAACCATTTTAAAATGAAATTACTGTTGCTTCATTTTAAACTATAACAACTGTACAAATAAAAAAAAAAAATTGGCTAAATAATCAGCACTGAAGTAAAAACAAAAAGTGACTCATATCCTGTAAGAGATTTTAAAAAGTGGAAATCCTTCTCAGCAGAATTTTTTAAATAGCCCACCTTAAACAGCAAAATGTTCAACAAAATGAAACCATAACCCATTGAAATATACAACACTTTAGAAGTTCCTAGACTTTGATTTCTTTACTAATACTTAAATGCTCTTCTAAAGATTTATGGTTAAAAAACTTACAAGAACCACAGTAACTTCTTTCACATTATTACCATTTACTGAGTACTCACAGAAGCTAAAATTTTACAACCAGTCTCATTTAATTCTCACAACAGTCCAGAGAGGTATGTATTATTTCCCTTTCATAAATGAGGGAACTGAGGCTCAATAAAGTTAACTTTCTCAAGGTCACAAAGCAAATTTAAGACCTGAGTCAGAATCTGAATCCAGGCTTCAGTGAGTCCAAAGCCCCGTGCTCTCAATCCTTGTTAGTAGGATGGTCTAATTCCAAAATTAAGTTAAAATTCCTTAAGCCAATCGAGGATAATACTCTTAGTGAAAGAATAAATGGCTTCTATAACCAATATGTAAGTTCCAAACAAAACAGGTGAAATACTGAAACTCTAGCTTCTGTGAGTACTCAAAGGTAGCTAGCTGTCCACTGCCACTATACTTCATTAAAAAAAAAAAAAAAAAAATCTCCTTTTAATGGCTAAACCCCAGTCTCTAGAGTCTCATTTAGGTAATTTCACCAGACCTCAGATAACTTCAGCAAACAGTATGTAAACTAATCCCCATTTCATGTTGTATTTGTAAAATGCATTAAGTACCCTCTTCTCTGTAAATGACTTTTCACTATGGGGCGGGGGGTGGATACTGAAGGTACTCACTCAATATAATAGAACATTTTTGCCCAGAGGAGTAAGTGGTGATAAAGCTATATCATCAACTAGTATGTCAAGATTTGCAAAGTATTGATAAAGCAAATTAATATTACCAGCTTCATTGTCATTCTTAGCACCCAATGGCAAAGTCAGAAACTGTCATGCTTAATACTCTTTAAACTCCACCCTCCACTGTAAAGCTTTAATAGCAATGGCTTCTTCCTCCCTGGTAATGATCTTTGTTCAGCATACCACTGTTAACTGCCCTCCTAATTCAGGAGCAAAGAAAAAGCATCAGAGTGAGAGTGCATTCACTGAGAAGAAAAAAAAAAAAAGCATTTACTGTACTCTTTTCTCACTGCAAACTGTACCCTTTATTGGTCGGTTACACACACACACACACTCTACTAGGATTCTTTCCGGACTACCTAATAATCAATTCTTTCTATCCACTCCCCACCCTCCAATTTGTTTGGACCAAGGGCATTACAAGTTTCTCTGTCTTAAAATAAACATTTAATTTGACCGAAGAGCACACGACCTCCCCATGCACTCCCCCACCTTTCGGGAAAGGTATGTAGCCAACTAGGACCCTTCCCTTCCTGTTCTAAAAACACCAAAAGGTTGGATCCTCCCAGTGTAGCAGCAGGAAGCAACCAGTTCATATGATAAAGCGACCTAGTATTTGTACAGCGCACAACCTTTCCTGCTCGGGAACTGGGCCTTCAGGTCTGGCAAGGATAACAGCCACCACCCATCCGCAACCCCTTCTCGCCAGCACTCAAGAGTTATCCCGGGCTGGTAGCCGCTGGGTAGGGAGGGTAGGAGAAAAAAGGCTAGGTGGGAGATCACATCACTCTGCCTGGTCACTGCGACAAGTGCGTGCGTGGGTGACGGACAATCATTCTTGCCCTACCCCCCCCCCACCCCCACTCTTGGGGTCGCACAGGGGACGTGGGAGAGCTCCAAACTATTTGGGGAAGGAAGGTAGAGAAAGCTACCAATCCCGGGGGGCAGTGAGAAAAGATTATTGACTGCGAGAACTGTGGGGCAGGCGGGGGGCGATGGCTCGCCCGGATTTTATCGAGGGCCTAGCCTGGGGATGGAAGATGACCAGGAGAGCCGTCCGTCCGAGCAGAAAGAGGGGCTGTTAGGAGACGCACGCAGAGTAGCAACTAGCCAGAGGGGAAAGGGGGGCAGATAAAAATTTTTAAAAAGACCGGTAGTGGGAGTCTGCGCTGAAGGCAAGGTGAGGAACGAAGGGAAGGGAGGGTCAAAGCGATTCAGGAAGGGGAGTAAGCCGGACAGGATGCATACTGAGGGGGAGGGGGCGCCAAATCCGAAAAATAGATGGTGGGAGGAGCGACCCCTTTGAAGGGGCCCTAGAACCCGAGAAAGACGATGATTTGGAAGAAGACAACCCGCCGTGAGAAGGGCACCGGTGAGGGGCTCTGACGCTAGCAAAGGCCTATGGGGAGATGTGTGGCGAGGACCCCCTGTCTAGGGGAGGAAAAGGAGCTGAGCTGGGAGACCGCAAGACAAACGGCACAGAGAGGGAAGGGCTGAGCGAGGCCGATTTCAGTACAAGGGTAGCCCCCACGCCGGTCCCCCGGGAGAGTCCTGGGCCCGCGAACGAGACTCGGTGGAGAGTGGGAGAGCCCATGACCTCACCTTTGAAGAGGTAGTCGTACTCGTCGTCGCGGGTGCCCATTGCGCGGCCGAGGAGCTAAGGGGCGGGAGCAGTAGTGGTATCGGTGGGACCAGGGGGCGTCGCTGCAGGGGTAAACCGAGTGCAGAGCTTCAGCTGCCGGACCGGGTGAAGAACCCCTCCCTGTCGCTACGCCACTTCCGGCGAGCTTCAGGTCCGTAGGGGAAGTACTTCCGGGGGGCGGAGCCCCGCCTCTGTGCCCAGGAAGCGGGGGGCGCGAGACCACTGCGTAGGTCTTCAAATTCTTACCTTCCCTTGTAGGCCCAGAAGAGAAATTGAGCCCTTGGACTCTCAGCTAATCACACCCCTGGTGGCCACCCACCACATTCTTAGCGGCCTCGCCCTCGTTCCTCGCGCTGTCCTGCCGGAACCCGGGCTCTGGGGAGCGTGTTAATCACGTTTCTGATGGCTAGGTTTGTGGATGGGGCGGGGTTCTCTAAGAATTAGAGAGCTGAAGGCGGCCCCACATGTGTGGCGGTTCCATGGTGTAATGGTTAGCACTCTGGACTCTGAATCCAGCGATCCGAGTTCAAATCTCGGTGGAACCTACACCGCTTACTTTTCTTCCGACCAGGTTTTTAAATTTATTTGTTTACTAAGTAATTGTTATACAACTGCAGTATATATCACCTTTATCGCCTTGAACTAAGTAAGGAAAGAATTTCAAACAATTTGACCTTTGCCTGCGAAGACATCATAAATTTTCCTCGTCGATTCTGTATTCTGTCACCTGAGTGATTCCTAAGGAGACTTTTCATTTTTTTTTTTTTTAACTTGGGCCCTCTGCCTCAAACCTAATTGAAAAGCTTCGATGAAACTTGATTCTTTTTGCTAGAATTTTCAAACTCCAACGTGAATTCTGGCAAGGGCAGGCGCTTTTCACTCCATTTCTCGGAAATCTCTCAAACTATCCCAGGTCATTCAGAGAATCTCTCCTACCCTCCTCAAGATTCATCAGGAACTTCCTGAACCCCAATGTCAATCTCTGAGGCTAAATCATTTATATAATTAATTTCATTTAACAAGCAGAGCTAAGGATGGCGATTTCTATTTTAGTGGAAATGTGGATACTGAGAGGAGTGATTTGCTGAAGATCAGGCAGCAGGGCCCCCCCTGTATTTGAAGAGAGTTTTGTTATTCCAAAAAGCTTTTCCTATTTATTGCCACACCCTCTATCACCTATATGCAAACCCTCAATTTAGACTTTTGAAACAAGGGTGCCTTTAACAAACAAAATGATGGCTACCAAGATGTCCGCTTCCCAATCCTTAGGAACGGTGACTATGTTGGGTTACGTGACAAAGGGAAATTAAGGTTGCAAATCAACTGATTTTAAAATACTGAGATTATGCTGCTTCTCCAGGTGGGTCTAATGTTGTCACAGGGGTCCTTAAAAGTGGAAACAGGAGGCAGAGGAGGTCATGTGACGTGAGAGGACCTTGTAAAAAATAATTTAAACAGCCAAATTGGAAGTCGAAGCTGCCATCCCAAAAGAACTACCTTGAATATCTTATTCCTCAACCCTTTGGGTTGTTAAAAGCTAGGCAAAATAACCTTTAGACTGGGCCTAAAGCACCATCGTACTCCAAACAACTGTTTGCAAAGCTAACAGAAAAGCAGACACTATGATCACTGGACTGAAAATTAAAGTTATTCTTTAGAATTAGCATCACTTTGTCAGATTATCTGCACCTAAAGAAACATCTTCCTTCTATTCATGTAATTTTTCCCCTCTCCTTTCTCATAAATATTCCTTGCCTTCACTTCCTAATCAGAACACTATTTGGGTTTCTTTTTGAATCAGAGTTTTTGAATAGCTATTCTTTTGGATCTCAAAGGCTTGTTGTCTCTCACCTTGGCCTTTTATTTTTAGGTGAACAGGCTCGTTTAAAAGAAAAAAGAAGAAAAGGGAGAAAGGAGGAAAAAGAAAGAAAAACAACAGGCCATGTCACTTAACTGAAACTTGACTAACCTAATTGCAGTTTCAACCTCTACCAGGACTAGGATTTTAAACCAATCAGTCTGGAATTTCCTGATCAATAATAATGTGAGGTAATCTGAATGATGTAAACAAAACCCCTGCCATTTTCTGTCCCCAAAAGAATGTGACTTGGCCTAAAAGTAATTCATTCTTTTCCTTTGGTAATAATATCCCCTGTCATACCCTTCTTCCTATAAAAGTTTTCCATTGTGTACAACCTCTTGGAGCTCCTTTCTGGTTGCTAGCTGAAGTGCTGCCTGATTCATGAATTGCTTAATAAATTCAATTAGATCTTCAAATTTACTTCGTTGATTTTTGTTCTTTAACAGCCTTGACTAGCTCTTGTGGTTTGAAGATGGAGGAAGGGAGCCAGGAGCCTAGGAATGCAGAGGCTTCCAGAAGATGGAAAGGCAAGGAAATGGATTTTTCTCTAAGGCCCCCAGAAGAAATGCCGCCCTTGATTTTGTTCCTATCACCAAGTTTGTAGTAATTTGTTACAGCAGCAACAGAAAAAAACTAATACAGTACCATTTTCAGTGCTTTCTGTGACAGTGTAAACCAATAGAAAGTTTATCTAAGGCCTAGATACTGCCTTGTGCAAGGGTGAGCATTATCCACAACAAGGGAGAAGCACAACATTATTCAAGCAGCCAAATATGATTTGTACTACAGATTATTTATAAGACACAGTCCTGGCACTAGTCAGGTGGGTACACAAAATGGGCCCTAGAAAAGTGGAATATCAATAACTATATAGTTTTGAGTAACTAATGAGAGTTCTGGTGATAAGTGCCACAGTTCAGAGACTGAAATAATTAGGAAGAACTCCCTGAAGAAGGAGGAACTAGGATTAACCCCTGAAGGAAAAAGCAGGGAAGGGAACTCATTTTGGGAAGTGACGGAAATTAGATAAGAACATGTTGACAAGGCCATTAATGTCAGAAGAATAATTATAAACTTTTTCCTTTAAGTCGTTTCTCAATGTGTATTCTGAGAAGGTCAGTAGTGTTCCTTAAAAGGATTGCATGGTCAAATAAATTGAGAACTACACACTGTCTCTCCCCATCCCCTTAGAAGTTCCTTAGTACACTGGCATTTTAAAGACCAGCTACTCCACTCTGAAGAAATTTTTTTTAACTGTGTTGAATGCAGACAGCATTTACCAGATTCACTAGCCCACAGAACTCTTTTCCCAAGGAACCCTTGCTAGTACCTCTCTGTAAACTGGGGGAACCATCAAATATTTGTGGACAGAGGGTTTTTCTTAGGAAAAATAAGCTAGCTATGGACTGCAGGAAAGGGGTAAAGAAAGACTGGAAGTGTGAATGTTAGTTAGAAAGCTATTAGAATTAACCAGACTCAAATAGAGATGGGGTATAGCTATGGGAATAGAGAAGTAAGAAAAATCAAAAGTTGTGGAAAAACATGGTGAGTGGATTCCATGGACAGAGAAGAGAATTAGGGTTTTACTTTCTTGAGTTTTTGAGAAGAAAGGTAGTAATTGCTTAATGTATCTTTTTTAATTTCTCAAAAAATATAGGAATTTAATGTAAATGACTTAAGTAATACAGAAATATAGAGTAAATCCTTAAAATCTTCCTCTACTTCAATTCCTACTTCATCCCCAGAGATAAAACTACTACATTTTCTTTTAATACACAGTCACGTGCCGCATAATATTTTGGGGTCAATGACAGACCACATTTACGATGGTGATCCGTAAGACACTGTATAGCCTTCGCATATAGTAGGCTATACCACCTAGGTTTGTAGAAATGCACTCTATAAGGTTTGCACAACAATGAAATTGCCTAATGATGCATTTCTCAAAATGTATCACTGTCATTAAGCAATGCATAACTGTTTATAAAATCAGGTATGCATACTGTTCCTCACCTTGAAAAATCTTTTCATATCAGCCCATACAGATTTATCTCGAGGTAAGAAACATCCAAACCTGTAGAGAATTTTAATGAGTTTATTTGGGCTGAACTAAAGGTTTGCACAACAATGAAATTGCCTAATGATGCATTTCTCAAAATGTATCACTGTCATTAAGCGAAGCATGACTATTTATAAAATCAAGTATGTGTACTGTTCCTCATCTTGAAAAATCTTTCCATATCAGCCCATACAGACTTATCTCGAGGTAAGAAACACACAATTGCCAGGAAGCAAAATCTCAAGAAATTGAGCAAATGCTCCAGAGAATGGATGTTTTGCAGCTTATTTTTTACATTAGAGTCAAAAGAGGAGACAGAAGTAGGGTTACATGAAATCCATTGCTGGTAGATTAGGGAGGTGGGAGAAAGCAAAGCGGGATTGGATAAAAAGTAAAATGGAGAGACATAAACTTCTTTTACATTGGTGGGTATAGGAAAGTTAATAATTAACATTGACTGCATATAGAGATGGTATGCAGGGGACAAGATAACCATGAGGGGTTCTGTGGTCTCATTCTCTGGTGCAGCAGGTTGTGCCCTGAGCGGTCTGGAAAAGGATTACTCTGATATTCCAAGAGTTATCTTACATGCAAAAAGACAATGGCCTCACTTAAGGTAATGAATAATCTTTGTTAAAGAAGTTACAGGCCCATGATGTGACTACCTGCCATGACCTGCTTTTGGTTAGGAAGTTTTATGTTCAGACCATCCTACATGGTTACTTTCGGTCTCTGAATTTGTGGAGCCCACCATGCTGGACACCTCCCCCCCCCCGCCCCGAGCTTTTCAGGTTTAGTATGTGGCCCCTTTTTCATCGACACTTATTTTCTGCATAGTTTTTCTTAGCAAGGATGTACCATAGTTTGTACAACCATTCCTTTTCCTTTACCTTTACCTATGGATATGGTAGATACTGAGGGCTCACTAAATTAAAATCTCTTCTTAAGTCATTTCTTCTTTCCCCACTTCCCCTTTAGAGGCTGGAAAAGCCAAATATTCATTTTTCCAGCTACTCCGGAATATTTTCTATAATAGTATAAAAATGTAGTAGTAATAGTTTTAAATTTTGCACATCTGGTTTGCTCAATAATTTTCACTTGCCTGATAACCAGTGAGTATAAACACTTTCTCCTATGTTTATGAACCATTAATATACTGTGAATATCCTTGTTAATTTTCTTGTTGTGTTGTTTTCTTATTGATGTGGAGGATCTT